CTTTGTGTGTTACCTGTTGTTTTGTCTGTACAGCACTTTGGTTGGCTTTGTAGCTGTTTTAAGTGCTTTATAAATAAAGTGGTATGGTATGGTATAGTCACTGAGGATTGATGGGTAGTTTTCTTTGGTACTGGAAGGATGGCAAGATGTTTTCCACAACACTGGAACCTTCTCCTGGGTCAGGCTAAGGTTGAAGAGGTGCTACAGAACCCCACAGAGCTGCTATGCACAGACCTTCAGGACTCTGGGACTGACACCATCTGGACCTGCAGCCTTATTCCGGTTCAGCCTCTCCAGCTGTTTCCTCACCTGACTTCTAGAGACGCAGAGGGGGGAGGCAAAAGAGGCATCAACATCTTCTGATTTGGTTGAAGACCAACATGTAAAAGAAGAAGTGTCCATGACCGAGGTGGTAGATAAAAAAATCTGAGGTGTAACAGGACAGCCTTGGGTCAAAAGAGATTGGTATACAGTATCCGTTTGGCTGTGGACAAGAGGCTAACCCTAACTCGAGGCTCAGTGGGATTAACCTGTATAAATGAAGTCTGAAAAAGAGAGGAGGATGCTGAGTTTGTTCTTGAACTAAACATGTTGAAGAATGTTCATTGGCTCTGTCTAGGCTTCCATCCTTCTGCTCCTTCTTCTGGGACAGTACTATGTTGTATAGACTCATTAAAATATATGATACCAGTTCTTCTATAATTTGTGTGGCTAGACTTAAGAAATAAGGAAGGAGGTCATCAGGGCCTGCATATTTTGTAGTATCTAGATATTTTAACAGTTTAGTAACCTCACTGATAGAGAACAGTAAAAAAGAGGATGTACTCCTACATGTGTCCAGTTAACCACTGTTTTTTTGTCTGTCCAAAGAGGTCTCACTTGTAAATGAGTCTTCAAGGCTCAATGTGATTTATCTGTTTAAATAAAGGTTGAATGAGTATGGTTTACTGAGGTTTCCACCTGGAAACCTTCCATCAGAAGATTTCCTTCCTTTTCTGCATCATGCCAACCAGGTATCTACCTTTGCCTGCCATTGTCACCACATTTATACGTGCTACTCTCAGTCCTACATTCTTGTATTTCCTATTCTCCCTCTGTCTCCTGATGTTTCCCTACTTGTAGTCTTTGAATAACAGTTGTACAATTTCTGCCGACACTCTTTTTGTCAACAGCACTGGTGGTAATCGTTGTTAACCCAGGCATCAACCAATCTGGTATAGTGTCACTTAGATGAATTTGCATGTTAGTTTTAGCAAAAGTGCTTTGTATTCGATGCCCTTCCTGACACAACCATCACCATTTACATGGGCTTGGGACTGGCACAAGAGATACGCTGGCTTGTGCTCCATAGTGGCTGGTTTAGGAGGGGCTTATCAAAGTATTGTTGTTATTAAAATTGTAGATTTTACAGTATGGAGACATGGTCTCTTGTCTGATAAAACTAAAATTGAACTGTTTGCCCAAAACGATAAGGATTTGGAGGAAAAAGAAAGAAGCTTGCAAGTCTGAGAACACCTCCTCAGTATTGAAGTACAGAAGTAGCCACATCATGTAGGGGTATTTTGCTGTAGGAGAGCCTTCACAAACTAGATGGCATTACGAGGAAACAACATTATTAACTTATTGGTCTTATTATTGGTTCTAGAATTGTGCCGCTCAAGGTGGCTTCATGTTGGAGTAGCTCTGTTACATTAATCGTGAGATATTGATTTAGAACTTTAATTCCTCTTTTTTCTAGATATAAATCGCTTTTTTTGGGATGATTATTTCCTTTGGTAACGGATGCTGTGCAGCTGGAAGGATTTTCACTGAAAACCTTTTACATTTGGACATTTGTTATGATGCATAGCCATAACAACAAGGTCGTTTCTTTTACAACCAAGAGCTGCTGATCAACATATCAAAAGCTCAAATAATATCTTAACTACAGCCCCAAATCCCATTGAGTGTTAAAGGAGGCCCCTGTGGGTGCATTCTTGTCTATCTGACAGCAGTGCTTGAGTCCCTGACTGCTGAGATCCTGGAGCTGGTAGGAAACGTGACTCGTGACAACAAAAATACTGGGATCACCCCCCATCACCAGCAGCCGACTGTCTGCAATGACGAGGAGCTCAATAAGCTGCCTAGAGGAGTGACCATCACTCGAGGACGAGTTCTGGCCAGCATTCGGGTAGTCCTGCTGCCCAGGAGGATGAGAGACCCGTTGGTTTCAGGTGGACAGATCGGCATCTGTACCAATATTCTTCAGATCCACTGTGGGGATCCTTCCTGCCCACAGCCATCAGAACCAGATAATCAGAATCAGAATAAGCTTTGTTATCATTGCTCCGAGATACAACAAAAACATGTACGTACATTCGTCCGAAAGATGGACGTAGTGTACGAAGCCGCTACTATAAAAAAAAAAGCGCAGACCTCTTATTCTTGTTCAGAATAATATTTTTGCTTAGATGAGAAAAGGAAAGAAAACATGAGGAGAGATGGTATAAAAAAAAGATCTCTCACACCTTGTCCTAGACAGGGCACGATTTAAGGCATAAAAAAATCTACCACAGCATAGCACATAAATAGATGTGATACATGTACATATAGGCCGGTGAAGACATTGAATTTTAAGGGAAGGTCGTAGCATAGTCCAGAGCCCCCCCTCAGCCATTTTCCAGATAAGAGGTGTTGTTCATCATCAGCTCGGTTGAGGTTCTGTATGTGACAAATTTTTCATTATTCAGGCATTTAAAATAAAAATAATGTTGGGGATCTCAACTGACTAAAAATAAGAAAGCTTCTTTCATCCAGTTTTAAAAAAAGTATGTGTGTTTCTTTATACAGTATGTGTAAATGTGTTTTCAACTGTATGTTTGTCTTTTTTATGCAAGATATTAATGCAAAATATTAATTTATTTCTGTATTTCAGCCATGAGGCTTCTCCTTGTGCTGCAGATGCTCTGTTTGGCTGGTTACCATGCTTCCAGATCCAGAGACTGGGCTCATCATGGTGCTCCTATGTTTGCTGATCTTACAGTACGTGAGATGAAAGCTGTCCGGGCCTATCTACATGGTATTCCAGAAATGAAACTAACTGATGCTAGAAACAAAATTATGAAGAAGAATAACATCCTGCTAATAGAAGTCCATCTGCCAAAGAAACATGAGGCCTTAAAAGCTCTGGACTATGGACAGGCCAGACCCCCTCGTGAAGCTCGTGTGGTTATCCTGTTTGGGAACCAGACTAAACCCAATGTGACTGAGTATATTGTGGGTCCTCTGCCTTCTCCAACGTCTCATGAAATTAAGACTTTTAAGGGAGGGAAACCTATTCAATTTAACTCACGTCCAATAACGTCTGTAGAGTATGAGCATATTAATAACATCCTTGAGAAGATCGCAACTACAGCTCACAAGGTGCTTTTTGAGACAACAGATGGATATTCCTACACTAACTGTTCTCACCGCTGCCTTACATTCTCAGACATTGCTCCTCGTGGACTGGCTTCAGGAGACAGAAGTTCATGGATTATGTTGCAGAAGTTTATAGAGGGTTATTTCATTCATCCAGTTGGATTTGAGGTGCTGGTCAATCATCAAGATTTGGACCCAGAAAAGTGGTTTGTTGAGAAAGTCTGGTTCAACAGCATGTATTTCAACAGTGTTGAGGAACTTGTCGAAAAGTATGAATCAGGAGAAGTACCAAAGATTAAATTGCCTAACCATTACAAGGATGAACTGTATTCCACCTACATACCCCGAGGTCATAGCAACACCCCATCAAATATTCATGGACCAAAGCTTGTTGAGCCTCAGGGACATCGCTATTTCATTGACCGCAACTTTGTTGAATATGCTGGCTGGTCTTTTGCCTATAGAGTGCGCTCCTCAGCTGGGCTTCAAGTATTTGATCTACGTTATAATGGAGAAAAGATTGCCTATGAGATCAGTCTCCAAGAAGCTATTGCCTTCTATGCTGGTGATACTCCTGCTGCCATGCAAACAAAATATATTGATGCAGGCTGGGCTATGGGCACCTCAACTTTTGAACTTGCACCTGGCATCGACTGCCCAGAAATTGCCACTTTTGTTGACCTTTACCACTACTTTGACACAGACAAACCTGTGCGCCACAGAAATGCTCTCTGTATTTTTGAGATGACCACTGCCATGCCCTTGAGGAGGCATTTCAATTCCAACTTTCAGGGAGGATACAACTTCTTTGGAGGGCTGGAGAATACTGTACTAGTGTTGCGAACAACCTCAACAGTTTACAACTATGATTACATCTGGGACTTCCTATTCTACCTGAATGGGGTGGTGGAGGTAAAAGTCAGTGCTTCTGGATATATCCACGCCACCTTCTTTACACCTAATGGACTTCACCATGGAACAAGGGTGAACAACTATGTACTGGGAAATCTTCACACACACCTTATACATTATAAAGTGGACCTGGATATTGCTGGTGAGTACGATGATAAATTATGGCACCTAGTTTCTCAAGTGTTGAGGTGTCTAGTTTCTGTTTTTAGGTCTAGAACTAAAAATAAATAATCTGAATAACAACAAATAACTGATGGTGAAACCATAAAGAAGTATCTTAGTTGATCTACTCAGGCAGACAGGCAGAATTTACTGTAGTAAACTAGAGCACAAATTCAGTCCTTTTATACTATCATCTTCTGCCACAAATAACATTAAATTCAAGTTGTTTATTTTAACTTTGGGCATTAACATTTTAGTCAGTAATCATCCTGGTAGTTTCAAAACAACAGTGACTGTAGGATTAGAAAAATATTTGAAAGGTTGTATATTTAAATATAGTAATATTGTTATACTTCTAAATGTAGTAAACATTGCCAATTACATATATTATGATGCAAATATAATTACATGGCAAAAAACAGATGGCTTAAAACAGATGCAATATTGTTTTGTCAAACAACTTTTACCTTTATTCACAGCCATTATGTAACATTTTAATAAAAGTAGTGTAAAACATTTTATTCGTTTGAAAATTAGGGATGCACCAAGCCACATGTTTTTACTTCCGATCCGATCCCGATACCTAAATCTAAATAACGTTGGATACCGATCCAGTTCCGATATCATCATCATCATTGATTTTATATAAGGCTGTAATAATCTCCTCTCAAGTAAAATTTGTACAAATATATGTATGCATGTCCAAAAAGGCAACTTGAGGTAGTTTAATTAATGTTGAATAAGTTTTAAAGTTAGAATTAAATTCTGCTAACACAAAACATGTTTATTTTTATTAAAGTGATTAATTTAAGTGATTGTTTAAAGTTATTTTATATTTTTTAAATAAGGGGCAGATATAAGATTTTTCTTCTTTCTGCACTCGTTTCATTCAGTGTTTTCTTTTTGATGAATTTGTTTTGTTTCTTTTAAATGAATAAATGAAATAAAAAAAATTAAATGTTAAATGGCTTCAAACATCTG